CTGCATTCTATTTATAGCATAGTCATCATAACCATATCTGACAAGTCCATTTACCTAAATATTAAATGAAACAGGACCAAAATTTCACTCAAATATATCTTGACAGTTATTTACATAATTTGTTTCAGTTTGATAATTTATTGACTCAGAGTTAGACTCTATAATTCATCAGTACCTTTCTGTCTCTGCTGAGTATCACTACTCACTGGTAAATAAGAAAGTAACAGAATTCTTCCACTTTATATACAAAAAGAATACACGATGTTAGAACAGACTCAAGGATAGAGCCTATCGTTTTCTAAACTGACTTGAAGCTAGAAGGGTTTCACCTGGAAACATGTTTAAAAGACTCAAGTTTTAGAGAAGATGCCTACACATTCCAAAAAAAGTACCACAGCCTGGCACAAAAACCTGAGAGAGTTAGCAAGTAGTAGATGGTTTTTCTCCAGTTCTTAATAATTCAAGTCATCCACCCCATAAATTCACTAGGTGGCACTGCACATCAAGCTGCAACAATTTCTGCATGACCAGAAATCCTAGATTAGGTTAATAAGATACACCCTAAAGCATCGAGTGTGTGCACATATTTGTGGCCTCACATAATTATTTTTTGTACAATGAAGCTATTGGAAACTTCTATCTGAAGCAAGGATGACCTGTTTGTCAACACAATTTGCAGTTTCAGGAGCCAAGTAACACTCGCAAGACCTAGTAAAAGCTACTGTAACCGTACACCTATTAAATTCAAAGTCATGCATCTTTACATAGGAATCACACCATAACCATGAGGTGAATTAGACAAACAGGGACTACAAGCAGGAAGCATCTGAAGAATCAGATAATATAATAATACATTAGAAATTCTATAGCTGTGATAAGTATTTTAGATATATTGCCTTGTAAAGATGTAAGGTTATGGGCTTAAATTCACACCCAGCTAGCATGGTACTTAGGCCCACTGATTTACAAACACACCATCCAACATGAGGATTTCAGTAAATTATTTAAGTCATTTCTGAAGACGATATTCAATTAAGGTCATAACAGGAGCATTATGAACTATATATTCATCCCCACTGGGAATAAAATAGAAAACTGAAATAAAGTCAAGACTTCTGCTGGAGAGGTGTGAAACATTCCTGTTTGATTTGCAAGTGTTTCCAGTCTCCAGTATTTAGTTATGGACCTTAAGAACAAACCACCTTATTTGCATAACTGCATCCACCCATGGACAAAAATAATTTCTTAAGATACGGAGAAAGTTCAAGGAGCAGAGGCAGTATGACCTCAGGTCTGTTCAGATCACTCCACCCTGATGAGGAAGCTGTATTGTTTCTAGTACCTGAGCATTTTGCAATGCATGCACGTATAGCATATGCAAAACCAAATTCTGATACACAAGGCAACTTTCCGGGCATGCGAGTGGTACTTACCTGCTTGGGGCCAATCATTTGAAAAGCAGTATCATACTGTCAGAACACCCATAGCAAAGAGTGCAACAACTGCGAGTACTCCCAAGCAACTTGAACAACCAGAACATCGCTAAAATAACTGAACTGGCCACACTCATCCGGGCACCGATTCCGAGTAATACTCGCATAAAGAAATGCACTGTAACCTGTAACCAGGTGTGGCACCTTCCATTTCAAGCAAATTCACTCAAGCAAAGATCCTGAAGGCATGCGACCTGATCTGTCAGTCAGAAATTACCTTGTGCTGTTATCCAACTCTAATATAAGCCAAGATATAGTTTTGTATACTTTAGTAGAGAGAAAGAAAACAGGCCCTAAAGAAGCTTCATATACGGACAATTATTTTAACAAAATCACATTTGGTCTGTTAAAGGATTTTTTTCTAAATCAAGGTCCTCCTTTAAAGGCAAGTGCATCATCTAGGTTTTGCAAAACAAAAAGGACCAAATAATCTAGATTATTTCTTCACATCTTCTTCATTGCTTTCAGTTTTAATAGCATTTTCATGTAAGGGAGTGTTGCCAGTACTAAAAACCACCACAAAGAGAGATTCAGAATTAATTCTTACTAACTCCTGAAAAATAGCACACAGGACAAAGTCACCATTTGCTATTTTTCATTTTGTAAATAGCTAGAATTTCTGTAAAATAAGTTATCTTCTAACTAGAAACTCACTATCTACTCTAGGCTAAAAGCACCTATGGAAATCTCACATTGCAAAAACATTCCTTAGCTGAGATTAATGTGCATCAATTCTCGAATTTAGATTTCTTACAAGAAGTACAAGTACACCCGTACATATTTACAGCAGGAGCTGAAATGAAGTATAATGCTTTTGTTTCAGTTTTGATCCTAAGTTTCCTTTACCGAATATAGTCAGAACACACATCTCTAAATGTAACAAAACTATTTAAGAGATAGTAGGTATCTATTTATTAACAGAATTCCTCTGTTCTTACAGAGTCACTTCCTAGTACCTAATTCTCAAAAAGACATACACACACTCCAGAAAAGCTGTATTCAGGCACAAATTATTTCATTGAAAGCATGGTGAAAATAACCGTTACATCAGGCTTAGTTCTGAAGTATGAGGCTGCCGACTGGATAAATACAAGCAGATTTACATAGATTTCTCAGGCTAACACACAAAAATCGAAAAAAAAGATTTTTTTGTTGAATTTGCAAAACTTAAGTCCCAATCCATCATCAAAAAAATTAAGCCACAAAAAATAAAAGCTGTTCTTCAACATGTGGCCATAGGTGTTCATCAACTATTTGCCCAGGCTAATGATAGAAGTATTTATGATTTTTGAAACTTCAGCTTAAAGAACTAGCTCCTTTCTGCTGTTTATGCTGTGCAGAATCTTTTTGTTTCCATTTAAAAATGCCATTTAATAAAAATAAATATATTGTCCCTACTTGCTGGACAATGGTTATTCTCACTTGGGACACATCCTTTCAATTAAATATTCAAGAGACAAAGATATTCAAATTAATTTTCAATTACAACTTCTCACAAAAAATAAGCTAATCATTACTATTTTGTTACAAGACTACAAACATGAGTTTGGCCTAAAGCCCAATAATGTGAATGGAAAATCTCACACTAACTTCAAAGGACTTGGGATTAGTCCCTATAATAACTACATGAAGAACATTCCATTTCGGGAGATGCAGCTACATAGCAGTGGTTAATAAAGTCAATGTGTGTTTTTAGTGCTTGGAACTTTTTTCAGGAAAGAGTTATACTGGGAAGCAAATAGATTCAACTGCCTAACAGACTACTTAAAAAAAAAAAAAAAAAAAAAAGGAAAAAAGGTCATGAAATGCCCAGGCCCTCTGTGTATCAGAGGACTGGAAGAAACCCCGTATTATGCCATGCTGACCTAATAGGAAAAACCTCACTATAGTGAGACTTCTCTAGGTCTCAACCTGTAAAGTTAATTTTACTTCAATCTCTTATAGGGCATTTAGAGAGGAACTTGCTCAGCTGGCATGCAGTTACTGCCACCGAAGCTGGCCAGGGCTGTGCCTTCGGGACAGAGGGCAGCACCTCCTGCAAGTTCCTGCCTCTGGCATCAGTGACCGTTTGCATCGCCCCCCACTCGTGACAGTGGATGCTCTCACCTTCTAATGAGAACCAAGAACTGCATTCACAAGGGATGAACAATATACTACTTAAATTAAAATGCCTCAGTGAAAGGGTTATTCAAAAATACATCCTATTTACACACTTACAGAACTTGGTCAGACCCAATTTCTGAATAATGAAATGGGCTATCTTTACTATATGAAATAATCATTAAATGAAAAAAAAAAAGAAAATGTCATCTCCATTACTTTCTGTATAGTTCTTCTTCAACATCATTCAAATCATAGAATCACAGAATGGCCTAAGCTGGAAGGGACCTTAGAGATCATTTTAATCCAGCCTCCCTGTTGCCAGGGATGCCACCTCTCGACTAGATCAGGCAACACATGGGGACTGAACAGGAATCGAACCCGCGACCTTAGCATTGTTAGCGCTACGCTCAACTGACTGAGCTAATCTTTCTGAATAAGTAAAAAGTATTCTCAGGCAAGGCTCAAGTCACCTGCAGGTTTGTACATCCTCAGTCCTGTTTCCATTATTTCAAAAATGCCATTCTTTCCTTGTTCTGAATTCAATTATTTCACAAAGAGCAAAGGAAATTGGCTAATGGACTCTACAAAAATAAACTGCTAAGACTGGCTCTGTAAAGTAAGGAAACAAAAACAATAAGAAAAATATTTTCCTCTCTAGTCATTTTTCAATAAGAAGAGTCTAGTTTCTTTCTTGAACCAATGCAAGACCTGGAATTTCTGACAAATTCTGATTTTAAGTTGATGAAACTGACTGAAGTATAGACTGCATTTCCTTCTTGGTAGCCATTAGAAGTAAGTACAAAATCTTGTGTAATGGTAACTGTACAAATTAACATGGACAGAAAAACTGTAATGCATTCTAAATGCCCAATAACAAAACAGCAAATATTGGACTTGTTATTCAAATTATTACATTAGAAACTAATTTAATTCATACATATTAAAGATACCATTTATTTTATGCTAACTAAAATCTACATCTGACATTTATATTATTGCACTATCAAGTTGAAACTGGCAGTTAACAGAAGACCTGGTAACATTTAAAAAGAAAATCTCACAGGTAAATGGATGAAAAGAATAGGCTATATAGAGAATAAATCTCCATTAAGTTTTCTGTTTGTTAAAGACAATTAATAATATGGCTAACTCGCAAGTTAAGTTGCTCCAGTCAGAGAAACAACAGTACTACTGCCAAATCTTAAAAAAATTAAAAGGCCAAAGAATGTAGGAAACTTTCTCATTACCACTATGTTTAGGAAACTTTTATTTTACAGAAATAGTCTATAGCTAATATTCAGCGCTCAGTAACATCTGCTGCTAAATGATGTACAAAATAAAATCAAATTGGAAAATGCAGTTGTAATTGTATAGAAAAGCAGCATCTTAATCCAGTATACTTACATTATTGCATTCTCCCAGGAAATATAGTGCAAATCCATCAGCTTTTGTAGCTGCCAAAGCAATAAAAAAAGAAATAATTGTACTTACAGGGAGAAATCAAACTTACACAAGATCTCTAAGGTGAAATCACAGATTCAATTGCACTTAGCATATACATCTAAAAATCTAAAGGTGCAGGTCTATTGCATTGTCCCTTGAAACTTCCCAGATTCTACGAAGTTTGAGTTACAAGGTAATTCTTGGTTTACCCACGGTCGTTTACTACATTCTGAAAGATAATTAGATACTACCTCTTTATATATCTTCTTATCTCAAGGCCTAATGTCTGCACATTCTAAATTAGTTCATATGAAAGTATAGAAGTAACACAAGAACATGTATTTACAATATAATCAGCCAAATAACATTATGATTTCCATATGCAAAATAAACACCCTTCATAGATGGCTATATTTGTCCTTGCCTTAAGATAGAAAATGATGAGAAAATAAAACACTGCAAGTATTGCCATAAAAATGTGTTTCAAAAAAAACCCAACCTGTTTCTTTTTTCTGCACCTGCCCCATATTAAAAACACTGACACACACCAGAAAGTTTATATATATAGTCAATTTCTCCCAGATTCAGATTGTGGTAAGAAACAGGATAAAGTCAATTCCCTTAAACTCTCAAAAGTTTAAAGTCAATTAACTTCTTGCTAAAATGAAATCTCTCAAAATCAGAAGAGGACATTGCAATTGATGTTTTTGCACTCTGCTCTACACAACAGACTGACACTTTGAGTGTCTGTCTGTCTTTCCAACAGTTAATAAACATTCTAACCAATCAATGTACATATCTGAGGTTTTTATGAATGAACACAAGGATCCATTTAATACATTTCAGGGGAGTGATTATACTTGTGTGTGATCAGATCAATTGGCCTTCCGCTTTTTTTGACAAAAGGAAAAAAAATCCCATGTGTAGTTTACTTGCTTATCATAACACCAGTGAGAGTTCAGGGCATGGCAATTTGCACTCAGATTTTAAATCCTTCAGCTGCAGTATATAAGCCCATTCAGTTATGAGGCAAATGAGCACTGTAAAGGCAATACATAAAAGACCTTTATAAAAGAAAGAAAAATTGTAAAAGATAAGCAGATTCTGTCTCCTATAGCTTCTCATTTGCTGTGTATTAACAAAATTCAGTCTGATTTGCTGTGAGCTGGACATCAATACCCAAATAACCTCTTAGGCAAAATCAGTAAACAGAAGGGATCTTTTTAAAACATCATATACATAAACCAGAACTATTAGTCACCATTAGAAAATTACGAAGAAGCAGGGACAGTAATAGCTTTCAGCCAGCTCTTTAGAAAGGTATACTGAACAAATCTACTGATACTTCCTGTTGAAGTTTGAGTACATCCACTATCCACTCTGGCTAAAAAGAAGCAGAATCACACTTATCACTGGGAATTTTTTGTTTTTATTTTTTAACTTTTGATTACGCATAGTATTTTCTTAACAAAAAAAGGTACTCTCATCAGATAGGAAAAAAACGTTAAACTACTGAATGTAGTTTGAGATCACACAGAAGATAGGTCCTTTTTTACTAACATCTCAGTTTTGTTTCACAAGGAGTTCAAGCATGCAGTCATATTACTGACAGGATTTTTTTTTTTAACTTTCAATATTGACATTGCAACACCATCATAACCTAAATGGTCTATTCTTTGGTTCATTTAAGAGGGGCCTCTAATTTTGCAATTGGATACACAACTGTCTCCAAAAATGAAATTCACTGAAGTGCAGTCAGAGATTCACTGAGGGACAGAAGGTGAAGTAAGTTCACACTGAGACAACATGTGAAGAAAACACTGCTATCCCTCAATGCCTATCTTTATTAATTAAAACATTAAGAAATATGCTATGCACTGATGCTAAGTAAAAGCTCAGAGAGATCTGATTGTCTTCCTTACCTATTTTAATAATGCTGCTCAGTTCATACAGAAGTAGTTGGTTATCTCCTCCTGTATCCAGGCGCTGTTCTATGTAGCTGTTCAATTCGTACACTACTCCTTGCATATTCGTATCCTGGTACTACGGAAGCAAGGATGAGAACGTTTTAGAATAACTCAGCTGTATTTTGCAGGTTTTATACACATAAATTCATTAAAAATAATATGTTGATATTTCAATACCAAGGTAATCACAACTGTACTAATTCAGTTGCCTGAAGAACTGGGTCACTGCCAAGCAAGAGGCACGACGCTCCACTCTATGCTCCATTAGACATTTGTTCAAAGAGTACCGTGTACACCACTGAGCAATTAGTAATCGCCTAAACTTGGCCAAGGTCACGTGACAATATCTCAGGAGGAAAACTTAGAGATGCGACGATTATAAGATAAGCAACCTTCAGCTCCTTCCTTTTAAGCACCTACTGTGCCAAGCACCAAAGCTTTGAGTTGGTCACTCAAGGAGCTCAGACTTTCAAATACAGCAGCAATTAACACCAACAGAAGGACAGAAACCTCACGAGTCAAAATCACACTAGCCACTGTGGCCTTATAGGCACTTGTTTCAACGGAAGATGGCAGACAAAGAAAGAGATTACAAATATCTCATCAGGATACTTAGATGGGAGCAATGGGGTGTTGGTTGCTGGTACGATGAAGCACCATGACGTGGCTAAAATCTTACAGGAAAGGAGATGAAGCCTCCCTTCAGGGCCCAGCTATATTTAGTTATCCAGTTGCTGAGTCCCAAAACCAGATCTTGTAGGGCTGATAAAACTGGCAGCAAATATGAATGTGCATCATGAACAATAATTTCAGAGGAAGTAACACTTGGCAGTAAGTAAAGATTCATTACCCTGCCTGAAACTGGTAATGTGGTAACTGAAAAAAGTAATATGGTCAATTACTTACTGAACTCAGTGATGCAGTAGATTATGTTGCTTAAACTAAAAATGAAGCTGGTGATATTTAAATGAATTAATGTCACTTGAAAGATTAAGACTTACTCTCCTGCTCATTCATACTTTAGAGTCAAATGTAATATAGACTGGACTAAAGTAAACAGTACTATGGAAAATGCCACGGAAGTTCAGAGTACCACAGTCTACACACCACTCCCACATTTTTGTGCACATATGTAACTGCTCTCTAGATCTTCTGTCCGTAACTTTGGGTAAATCTGTACATGTGACACTTTCTGATAGATTAAGCACATAATTCACACAATATATCCCATGATAAAACTTTTATTCCCACTATTACTTTTGTACAACACATTATGTCATGAATACAGAGCATACAGTCATGTACTTAGGATACACTTGGCTTCTTCATCTCAAAAAACTCCAGGAACCTCTACCAACAAAAAACTCAAGTGCTTGCAGGATAATATCAATACTTGACTCCTTTAAACTAAGTAGATCTTAATCTTGCCTTTAAAATGGCTCCTTAGAACATAAAATCTTTGCCATGACCCCTACTTAATATATGGTGATATATTAATCTATTGCTCCAGCTGGACATAGTAAAACATCTGACCCTAGGGTGTCCAAAATGCTCTCAATGTATAACAAACTTAACACTAAATAATACTTCCTATACATTGATGTGATGATTATAATTTTTGACAGTGGTGTAAGTTCACACTGCATACATGCATAAACAGCTCTTAGTCTTGAGTTTACGCCACAGCATGCCATTACCATTATTAGCACCATATGGCAGCTGGCAAGCTTCCATTGACTGTCCTCTGATGTGTCCCACATTTACTACTGTATGAATCTTCAAAGAGGGAAAACAATGGCATAGTTTCATGAAAGTGAATTTTTTATACTTATGATGTAGCCAAAAGTAGCCATATAACAGGAAACTGGTGAAAGAGTCCATATAATAATATACATGTTAACCCATGTATGTGTAGCCACATATCCTCAAGCAACAATAATTAATCGAGTACACCTGCACAAAAGCCTTTCTCATGTGGAAAAATGCCTTCTCAGAACTTGGAAATGAATATATATCTCTTCGTCTGTGATGCACACTCAGGATTTAAATCAAATCTGCAAAGGTTAAAGTTAATACATTACGAGAACACATCATCAAAATGAGCCCACTGGCATAACAGCCATGGTAGAATAACAACTTTCCCTGTAATCAAGCAGCAGTTCTGCATGCATAGTAATTACATAATAAGCTATCTGCTCTTTATCCTCACCTCTGCAACACAGGCTTGCAAAAAATCTGTAAGCAGGGCAAATCACTGCACACATACATGTTACTCAGAAAATGGTAACTGCGCAATACAGTTGTAACGGAGCAGATTTCTGTTATTGACAATCTATGGATCCACAACTGGCAGATGAACAAAATCTGCCCAGGTTCACAACTAAGTAATTCTATGAATTAGACCAATCACCAGCAAAGAATTGCTCCATCATGCTGTAAAACAGTTTTATTCTTATTACACTGGAGCAAAAGAGGTTAATATATTTAGTTCTAGGTATTTTAGATTGGAAAACCACAATTATATTTGGTTGAAAAGCCACAATATTCTTTATGAACCCATGTATTTAGATGCTGAATAAGTCATCAGCAAACCTTAGTACAAGCACCATGCAATGCAGTTGTCAACATGGACCTGTGCACATTTGGTGTAAAACTTACTTTGGGAAGGTAATTCCTCAAAAAATCCACTCCACTTGGTGGAAAAAAAAGCCTAAGTACTCTTTCTTAATTTGTTATGGTAGTGTAGTTTGCGATATAAATTTATTAATACACAATTACTTTTACTTAATTCATTCTTCACACTGCTTATTTCCTTTTATTTAAGATTCAGTGTCTACAGGTATTTTGGCATATTTACTGTAAAATTCTGGATTTCACTGACACTACATTAAAATAATTCAAGTGGACTAAAAACTGGTTTAACGTAATCATACTGCTATCATATTGGCATCATATTTCTCATAGCTGCATATATTACACTGCTATGAAAAAGAACTAACAATTAAGAAGGGAAATCCTGTTATAAATATTCATATTCAAATTTATAAATATGAAAAAGGACATTTTTTGCAGGATTTATATAAAAATATTTCTATGGTTATTTGTCTCTAGAATACTGTGGTGCAACAGAAGACAGATAGGTAATTTAAGAATCGTGCTGGGACTTAGATCTAAACAAAGGGGCTGAGAATCACAAACATTTGATTCCATGACAGCAGATACTGAAATATCAGAGAGTGAGATTAATTTCAGACATTCATTCTGAACAATTAAGAACAAAAAATAATATCTAAGGACACAATTTAATATCTAAAGTAAATTTTAGGTATGACAAATTGAAGATTAATTTCCATGTTTCCATGCTTACATGGTAACTGCGCTAGGTGCATTTTATGCTCCTGCAGAAAAGAAAAAGCCCTTCTGCTGCAATGGAAAAATCTTTATTAATGCAGTACAGGGTCAGTAAGTGCCAACATGATCCAGAAGTTGATCTGCCTTCTCTGTAACGTCTTAAAATATCTTCTGAATAGAAATAAGAGCAAGTTCCTATCTAATACTTACTCCCTACTACAGCGCTTTCTCCACAGTGACGATTGCCTCATTCTACAACAGAAACACGTCCTTTTACAGACTCCACATAATGTGGAGAGAGATGGTCAAATGCACTTTAGGGATATAGAACTTTCATTGGATGAAGAGAGAGAAAAAAATACCAAAAAAACCAAAACATGAAAGCCACAAAACTGGGGAGAAGTAGTCACATTCAGAGAGATTCCTTATTTTTTTTCACCTGCTTATTTTTTTTATCTGTAATTTAGGCATTTTAGGCTGATTTCACAATCTGTAAGAGCGAATCACAAGACAGAGCTTTTGGTCAGCTGATGCAGGCAGCCTCGAGCCAAGCACAAGGCTATGAGGGCCAGAGCAGTTCCCCCTTCTGGGAGGTGGCTGGAAAGTCCTGTTTCCTTACAGGCTTAATGGGAAAAACAGCACAGGTGTTTTGCTGAGGAAAGGGGAAAAGATGCTGACCTGTCACATCAGTATGCCTTGGAAACAAGCTTTTGGGAAAGCAAGGACCTATTGTTCTAGCAAGCAACAAGCACTTTCTTAAAAATTTTCAAGGTTCCTTACCCAGCCATTCACAGAATCACAGAATTGTTGAGGCTGGAAAAGACCTCTGAGATCATCAAGTCCAGCCTATGACCC